TCAAATATAAATTCACATTTGAAATATGTATTGGGCCCTCAATACACATCTCAAATGTGTTCCCAAATACACCATAAATAATACAGAGTCATCAAGTCCAAGGAAAATACTTATAAAATACTAATCTTGCTCATAGAAGCACATATACTATATTTTGGAAAAAAAAATGTAAAGCAACTGCATAACACAAAGATTTATATACACAATAACCTATGGCACTAAATTATGAAAAAGAAAAGTAAATCAACTGCATAACACAAAGATTAGTCACTTGCATAAATCAGTGATATAAAAAAGAGAACAGAAAAGAACAATGATGCCACCAAACAATTATAAAGATCAGTGCTCCATGTATGAAGTAAACCATAGATGGCTAGCATGGCAACAATTTGGTAGATTTCCTCTAACAGAGATGGCTAGTTCGTCTATTTCAACCATATAAGAAAAGAAATCAGAAAGAAAGATTAAATAAGCCTTTGAAAAAGTAGGAATGCCTGGTACAGGGAGTTGGGATTGACCTGGGCTGGAATTCCAAAACCTCCACCAGATTGTCGCCTTTGCAATCATTCCACTGGACGTTCCTCGCCGAGTCCTTCTTCCTCCTACCGGTAGCCACTCCTCCACTCTCTTCTGCAGGCAAAAGAGATTCCTTCTCGGCTTCTGCCTCTTCTCTCCTGTTAGCACCCTTCACAGATTCCACCACAGCAGAGGGCCTATTCCTATTACAAACTTTACGGATCTTGCCACTCAAACTCATGTCTTTTTCACCGCAGATAAGAAACCGCAAGAAAGGGCACTCGAGAAACGTCTCATAGGAATTTTCGCCCTTCCAGAGACCACGAGAAAACCTAAATCTATCGAACCCAGTCCAACCAAAAGAAATCTTGAAATCTTTCCCAACCCAAATTGTGACTGCGATCAAAGATGTAACCAGGAAGAAAATCCCGCACCAAAAGCCGACAATACAGCGCCTTATTTCCGAGCAAAACTCCACAGCGATATCCAAAATTAAGCCGAAAAGCCGATGGTAGTCGAGAGGAACATGCAATAACGGAAAGAAATCACAAGAAATCGTGCGACATAGAAGATGATCTGTTTTCTATGAGGAGAGATGCGAGGGGAATTGAGAGAGGAAGAAGGCGGGCTACGGAAAGCCGCACATCTTTATCGCCAAGAAAACTGAATCTTGGCCACCCCTGGATCTTACCCTTAAGTTTATCCCGATTAATTCCCAGTCGGTAGATCCTGTAGGGCCTATGTACGTTACCAACAACTACACCGGTATCTGAAGGGGTAACGTGTTAACGGATAGAGAAGCGAAAAGGATCGAGGAGAGAGGCCAACTGCCGAACGGCCATAATCTTTGTGCCCATCTGCTAAATAATGGATCGGACGGGCCGAATCAAATTGGGCTTGGCCGACTCCAATTTAACCTGATCTTTCTCTCTCTCTCTCCGCCACCGACATGCTTCCGCCCAATACTCTCCGGTTTCTGCTGGCGTCGCGTCCATCATCTTCTTCCTCCGCCTCCACCTCTGCATATCTTTGTATCGCCACGGAGGATCTCATTCCTTTTCGTAATGAGCATGAGTTTGTGGGAAGTTGTCGAAACCCCCCATTTCAGGTACGCATGTGTCGTCGCACCGAAGCAGGTTCTTTAAATCGTTTTCCATACTGTTCTCCAATCCCATTTCATGATCTTTTTCGTTATTTAGCTATCTTCTTGATGATGCATTCGATGTATGCATATGCTTTTACTTTCCACCCTGATTAAAAGGAGCTCTTTTTAGTCAAAAGGTGTTCGCTTTTGTAAATTGGGGGACGATTTGCATATGGATTGATATCTCCATCGTTATGTTGATGACGTGTGTGTAAAGAAATCGAGGGGTACTGTAGGCTGAAGCAAGTTTTACAATTACATAGTCTTTCTTTTTTTTAATTGTGCTTTTCTCAATCATTTACATTTTATTGTAACATAGATCAAATCAACTATTTACAAGGAAAGTAAACAATTCTTGAGATATTACAGAAATCTTTGAGAAATCTTAAAATCATAAAGATAAACCTTCAATATTTATGAAATATTTCCATTCATCTGATAAAAAAATTTGCATATGTCATGAATACTCATACAACATAGCCCAATATCTACACAACTGTTAAGGGACATCCACGTATAATATATGCAGAAAGATCGAATACTTGATGGTGCACTTTTCCAATAATAGATGGAGAGGCTGAGGCTCCACATACAACATATAAGAGTGGTATCCCTCATCCGTCAATACATGATCTCTTATATTCTCCCAATAGCATATAAACAAAACTCATATCTTTCTCTCAACAGAGTGTTATCCCTCATCCGCCAATACATGTTCCTTGTAACAACAAATGGAGTAGATGGAGGAACTATGAAGTCGTCATATCTGACAGTCCAGTAATCACCCTACAAGTACTGGTTTGCTTGCCCTTTATAGAAAAACAATGTCCTCATCTGTATCATCGTATTATCACATTCATTCATTTATAGTTTCATTCATCCATACACACATTCTAAGAGACATTTAAATATATATTGAAAGTGTCAACATAGACCATACTTGGTATATGGCATGATAGATCCAGTCCAGTGGAATTTCTATACTATGATGGGTTGGTAGCCCCTTTGTCGAGGACACATAAAAATGTCCAATTTCAATCACTCTCCACGGCCACATGTACTTCATACATATAGTAAAATTCATGTCAAACATACACATCATAATATCAACATCGATTTCATTTAATGGTTAAAGTTAATGATTGATTAATCTTAAAATTCATAAAACAACATCATATAGAATCTCTTAAAATTCACTAGACCAAGAGATAAAGGGGTAACTAGCCCGCTAGTCCTAAGATTGGCCTAAACTCAAGCTGAACTGGCTTGGACTCAAGTTGAACTGGCTTGATACAACTAGAATGTATCTAGAATCACATAAAATCAACTTGAAGTGGTCTAGTTTCGAGTTAAGCTGACCTCAAATCAAGCTGAACAAGCCTGAATCGACTCGAGCCCATCTGGAATCATCCAAAACTGACTTGTATCAGATTTAAATCAGCTTAAATCACATTGAATCTACCGAACCAACTTAAATTGGCCTGGTTTGGGTTCAGCCTTATCGAGCGTCAAGCCACTCCAAGCTATTCAAGTCACTCTAGGCCATTGGACCATGTTGGGCCATTGAGCCACACCGACTTGGTGTCAGAGTCATGTCGGACCTGACCCAAGTCAGATCTAGTCTACCTCAATCGAGGGATCCAACCTATGTCAAAGTTGGTCCAAGCCAATCTAGATCCAAGCCAATCTAGAGCTTGCCTTGGATCCAACTGACTGGTTTGGGTCCAAAACCAACCTTGAACCGAATCCAACAATCATCCTAAATATTTTTTTTTGTCAAAAAATCTAATTTATTACAGAAAGATATGAATATCAGTTAATATGGTTTGAAGACAAAAATCTTTAAATATGATATTTACTAACTTTTGTGTCATCATACAAAATTTCAAAAATCTTTCATTAAGATTAACAATGTAATCTAATACAATACAAGAAGATATGAATATTGTTAATATGGTTTTAAAACATTAACATCACAAGATATGGTTTATTATTTTTTATATCATGATACAAAATTTTAAATCAATTAAATTAACATTAACAATTCTATATTGAAAATATTAAATTAATGAATATTAAAATTTTATGGAATATTAATCAACTAAAACATCAATCAAGTATTTCAAAACTTAAAAACTAAAAGAAAAAATGTGGAGGACTTGCTTCTTCTGATAATGACTTCCACCTTCTCCTGCTTCACAATTCTCCCCTGCAGTCAGTCCCAAACTAAAGACGAAAAGGGAGGGTGAGATGAGGGAGAATGCTAAATAGTATGAGAAGATCTATTTCATATTAGTTTTAATTTTAAATATAGATTGAACAAATTTATTTGTATTAGAACTACGAAACAAAAAATGATTGATGGAATGACTTCCATATCAAGGTATAAATCCAAATAAGAAGTAAATAATAATTTGTGAGGTGTGTGTCAAATATAGTTTTTCGAGTTAGTGAAAGAAAAACAAAAGGGTATTACAACAATGATATAATACCATTTGGATTTCATTATATGCATTGCACTGCCAACAAGATTTGTTTCTTTCTCGTTGGCATCCCAAGGACTTCGAGTCTAATGGCAGTTGATATAGTGCTTAATACAACGAGGAAAAACTAGAAGCTGATCTAAGGATCATTGCCAACCCTCACTGCACTTGGCTGAACCATCTGCAAATAGTTACGCCATCCACATTTCTTGGACCAAATAATGAGACTGGATCTTCAAGGATAGATTAGAACCATCATTGACACAATACTAACAATGACAGTTGAGCATGTGCCACTTTTCTGAAAGCTTTATGTTGACAGTCAGACAGTTCAAAATAGTTAGAAGTCTACTAAATTTTATAATCTATGATTACCTGTAAAAAATCTTCCATATCATACTCATTCTGTTTGTCAAGAACAATTCCTCACTGCAAGGAATAGTATCTTTAAGATATTGGAGATTGTACAACAGAAAAGAATAATGGTAGACAAGATCTTTAAGACACTGATTGTAAGTGAACTTCAGATTGAGACTGAGCGGTCTCTATTGTTTCCAGTGATCCAGATAGGGTTCAGCTGAAGCTCAAAATGTATTGGTTCATAAAGGGTATCACCTTGAGGCTAACATCATGGGAGAGCAGTGTTCACAGCAATGGACTCATTCATATTAGCCTCTGAAAGTAGATTATGCATGCTGGTCTGCATAAAATTAATCAGCCTTTACAGGCCATAGCTTTTTTGTTTTACCTGTAATCTGTCATTCTGTCTTATCCTTGTCATAGTGTGTTTGGAGAAGCATTTTGGGCTCCATAATTATATACTGATACCTCACGAGCAATCATAGCATACAAGGGCCACACAATCAAAGTTACAGCCCCACACCAGTAAGCAGAAAATATCGGCTGTTCATAAGTGCTGTTTGAGAGTTTGACCTGAGTTCTAAAGCATGGAACTATTTCTTTTTCTTCAACACAATTTATGCCAGCATGTACCTGAATCCTTTGTTTTCAAGATGAGATGCATCAACAGCCATTCCTTTTGCTCCTCCTACCCAAAGAAATCAAAGAATTGAACTCCAAGCCTTTTTTTTTTTGCTTAAAAATTAAAATGTAAAATTTCACTTGTTGATGGAGATCTGTGAGGGACTTACACACAACTTATTTGTTATAATGGTTTATTTGGGAAGCTGATGATGCTTAATCTAATTTTCTGTACTTCCTCAACAAAGGGATCTTTTGAACTCTAAGCCATTGCCGTCGAAACCGATGTAGTAGCCACTTTATTTTGATCCGATAGTGGAATTTCTTGATTTTGTTAGTTATGATTGTATACCTCTTTTTGAACATCTTTGATCTTGAGAAATTCATCAATTTCTTAACATTTTTGTGACCACCTGCATTGATGCACATAAGCAACGTTAAGAATGAGCTAAAAGGAATAACTATGATTACTTGGTCTTGTTTCATATGACTAGCAGAGAATTAACTTATGCTATTGTTGCCAATGACCAATGGTGGTCTTCGATGTGTAGCATAATACATGTTCTGCAAGAAGGTTTGTTGTAATAGTAATTATCTACACTAGATCCATTATCTCAAATAATGCATATGTGTTGTAGAATGTGCATAAAAATGTAGTCCCTAATCTTATATCAAACTAGCTAGCTGATAATTGTGTACTATTCCACATTATATAAGATTCTTCGATGAACCAAATTACTGACTTTAAAAAATCATAAATGGAAGTATCCAAGTTTATGATTACCGATTTGATGTTTTTTGACATCTTCATCTCCTCTGATTCTTGCACTTCTTATTACCTGCAATTAGTAAGTATACAATTTAGCGTTGCACTGTCAGTAACTAGCCACTGCAAGTACTGGACGTAAGTTTCTGCATCTTGTAGGTTATTAGATGGTCATATTTATAAAATATTGAAATGTAGCATGAACCTAACACAAATCTTCATGGTAAGTGATCCTAACATGAATACTCATACTGCTAGTTATCAAATTTTTTACTGCATGACATACGACATAAAACATTTAGTTTTTTTCCTAGTAGATGTTGTAGAGCATAGGATCAGGGGATATTATTCGACCAACATTCAGTATTTTGAATATATACCACCCAGGATCTGAACTCAATCAAAGTGATGGTCAGGGTATTGAATATATACCACATATCATTGAATAACTATCACAAATTTAGAAGTTTGTTCAAATCCAAGTTATTTTATGCCATTTCAATTTAAATTTTTTAGCTAATTTGGTGGTTTTTTTTCTAATGAATGGGAGGAAATGGTGATCAAATGTGGGAAAATATTGCAAAAATCAATGATATGAACACAAATGGGCATGAATAGAAGTCTAGTAAGGATATGACAATAAACACATGAACTATCAAGTTACTTCTTGCTATTAGTATTTCTTTCTTAAAGAAGTGTTTTCATGATAGCAGGATATCAACCTCAGTTAAGCTTTCCTGACGCTGCCTCATCTTTCTTTGGATAAAGCCTCTGGTGCACTGCTGAAATGTTGTATCAGGTTCTTGATCTAGGATCTGCCAATGGAACTAGATTTTCTTGCAATCACTCACCTTTACATGATACTTTACATAGGAAACGAAAGTCAGTAAATTCCAGACAGTATTGTCTGCCTTTGTACCTCTGATGTGTTGTGAGAAAATTTCTGCAAAATCCCCAGATAGACAATGTGTTATACCAACAGGTTATTAAACATTAAGTCTCATAAAAAAAAAACCATGGTTGTTTCTTCAAGCAACAAATACTTATATAACTTGTTATTACTGAATTCCCCTGACGGTACGTGAACATATAATGTTTAGCATACTGTAACTGGAACAGAATGCTGCAGATTTGGAAACCCTTGTCCGCCAGATGCAAGTATCATTCATCAGCATGAGTTACACCATTTTTCTTACAGAAGGGCAGAAATGAACAAAAATGCTTTATACCTAGGGATACAAATCCTCCATTTGTTGTCAGATATTGGAATGGCTCTCCTCTCAACTCCAGAGGAGGGATTGGTGACCAGGTGCAACGTGGTGCTTTGTAGTGTGCTTCTAAATTGCTAACATCTACAAGTTCCTGCAATCCAGTTCCTCTACTTTCAGAATGACAAACATAGGTAAAGATAGGTTGTTGTCAGCATCATCTTGCTATGTCAGCAGCCTACCTGAAAGAATGATGTTGCCAAAATTACATCCGTATCATCTTTGAAGCGCATGGGATATATCACGGTTGTCTTCTCCAGCTGCATTATAAAGATGATGTTTTCGTTGTGACAACAGAGTGGCCTCGTGAAAAACACAGAAAATGGAAGCCAAAGAAATTGTTAACGGAAATTTTGTATGCGAAATGGTCATTCACTGAGTGGTTTCTCATTTTCTGAATCATGACATTGATCTATTGATACCTTTTCAATTGGCATGCTTAAGTTTATGTGTTACTGTGTAAAAAGTCGAATCGTCTTGAAGTTTACGGAAATTTCATGCAAACATGGTAATGTTCTTGAAGTACCATTTTGATGACAAAGAAGGGCTCTTTCAGCTGATGGACAATCTTGATTGGGTTGCACATGCCATTGCCCATGTACCTGGGTTCAAGGTTCCACAACATATCCTTCATTTGTGAACTCAGTATGACTGCGTGTAATGAGGAGATCTCGCTGATAGCCTTCATCCGATCTTCTGAAATAGTCTGGATGTCAGTTTCTATCGGGATGTCAGAATTTGTATACTAAGAAAAGCTTTGAAACGTCAAGCAGATTGTTTCATCTACATTGATCTAAATCCTCACTGTCAAGGATAGGACCGAGCATTAAGAATTCTCCAGCCGCTGTTGTTTTGTGTTTATTGTTTATACAGAGGACAGGAGAATTCCATACCTTTTCTCTGTGGAAGTTCCGCAAAGTCGATTCTGAGAGTAAGCATATAACCTTGCTTCGAAGGTTCCACTACTTCTGCAGAATCAAGGTATACCCTTTTGACATCTTGTAGGGCACAGTCAGGTAGACAATCTGAAGAGAACTCTGGAGAAAGTGGTGGCATCCATGTGGACAAGTTAACAATTTGTGGACTTGATGCCGATGCCTAGTCACAGCTATTGAAAGTGTCAAAACCAGGCTAAACGAATGGCGTATGCTTACTATGCTAAGGCTACAAGAATCAGAATTCCATTGCAGTGTTTGATGTTGTGTGGGATCAAGAAAACATGATCCTGCAAACCAATTATATGCAGAGTGGCAAAAGCACCTGGATATTGTATCGAACTGAGCCATATTCATATAGGTTATGATCGAAGTCTGTTAAGCTTTCACCACTAGCAAGAAAGAAGATAAAAGAGGATGTAAGTGACCAAAGCAGTTCGAAGCTGAACATGCATGTTTACTCGATTAGAGTCTGCTTGAATGAAGAGAAGCTCCATGAAGGTGGGACTAGGTTTCAGAAAAGCCATACCTCTGCAACTTGTTCAGGATTTCCACCAGTGCAGGTGACACCCTGTTGAAGAATGCCATATCTGTGGGTTGAAAGTCATGAAGAGAGTATATGATGGTATATATGTGGCTGAATGGTCCTTGTTGCTTTGCATGCAAGCCTTGATTTCAAGAACAAGCTGATGAAAAGGCAGGTGAGAGCAACTCCTTTCCAATGATGTGTTGTCTCTTTGAAGCAAACGAATTCTCATGCTAACCATTTATTGTCTTGATTACAGAGCACTCGACAATGATATGCTCCATCTACTAGTTGTTTTTGGTACTGGGAAAAACGACCCTTCAACTACGAAATCAGGTGGTGTGACTGCTGAAAGACTTATGTTGCAGATGTTGTAGATGTGGAGATTTGGTCAACAAGATTCATAGGTCCACCCAACTCAAGTTCATTAGAAGACAGAGAGGGCAAGTTGAATCTTAAAGCTCAAGTTATCGTCTGCTGTGGTTGCTGCAATTATGGTGGGACCGAATTGAATGCTCATTGTTGAGCTCATCATGTAAAATTATGAGAAGAGCAGGGTTTTCTTTCTTATGCTAACCTCAAATATCTCTGGAAAGAAAGTATAGTCGTGACAGAGAAGCTGGCGGCTACCTGTAGATTTCAAGAGAAGCCTCGAGCAACATGCTTACTCGAGTTCCTTTGATCGAATCAAATGCACAGGTCCTACTCTATTTGTTCCGTCACAAGTTTGTCTATTCCAAAACTTGTTCTTTTCATCTACATAAGAACCTTTCAGCTTTAACGTAGTCAAAGTATTATCCTACTGTAAGCCTTGTATGTTCTCTCTCTCCCTCTCTCTCTCAGAATATACATTGTAAACTTAGAATCTATTACTGGCTCCAACTTGTCGTCTCTGGATCATATACACACCCCTCCAGCTTCATAAATCACAACTAGAGACAACTTTTTCAATGATGACATGCATCATCAAATGATGTTGCTGGTAAACGAGTGTTTGCCATCGAAGGTTTATATATTTCTCAAGACTACCAACTGCAGCTCATGTCTGCTAAAACAACAAAACATAGATTCTTACCAGTCGGTCGCCGTCAGAAGCCCATCGAACAATAAAAAGGAAGGATGATATCCGCAGCAGATGGATGCAATACCTGTAAATTTCACTTGAAACCAACTAAATCCAAAACCCTGAACTCAACGAGGCATCAAGTCCCGGTGCCCAAACCATTAGCATCCATCACAAAGCCCTTGTGCACTACTAGAACAATCCGAATCCGATGCAGCAATGCTGAACTCCATACTAGAACAATCTGAATCCGATCAGCTACTGAAGCCACAACGATGAGTGACACATCCCCCCCACCCCAACCTACAATCCCTGGATCGGTCTGGTCAACAGTTACAATAAGCTTCAACTTCTTTTTCGGACCTCTGGATTTTTACAACATGAAAGAATGTGTCGGCAGAAACCGTCGGCGTTGCACCCCCCCACCAGACGCTGAAAATTCTGGGCAGAGATCACCGGAGGAGCAAAAGAAGCAGCTGCGTCCGCATGATCTTCGCCTCTCTAGCGGTCGAGTTCGACCCATTCGTAGCGGCCCGGGAGTGGGAGGTCATTCACGGGATCAAAGTTGTACCTGGAAACAAGGCGTAGCCAGCATGGTAAGAAACAGGTACGAGATATGCTCCCGTGGGACTATCGTCTGCGACAGACATGCTCATGGAACTCATTAGCACATTCTTTTCCTAATTGAAAACCAAAGCATAGATGTTTTATTAAGCCAACAAAAGAAAAGCACTCCAAGAATCGTGTACTTTTCTATGAACGCTTGCTGCTGGAGTTTCTCTAGCCCCACAAAAAACTCTTCCATTTCGTGACCGGTAGGGATGTTCTGAAGCACCAGATTCTGCATTCTCTGGTTACCAACAATTGAGTTGCTAGATCTTGGAGTTGCCATTGTTTCCGAGTCCCTTGTCAAACTGCAAGGTGTTGTCTCCCTGATATGGCAGCAACCGACTGATAGCATTAGAACCATAGCATTCATTTCATTCTCAAGGAACTAAATATTAATTTTATTTAAAGATCGAAGTGCCAAGATACTTGAGAATGAATGAACAGGACAAGCATTAACAAAAAGAGTCCTAACTTCAATATACTTGTGTCATGGCCAAAAGCCCCACAAATCAGGACCAATCTTTCAAAACATAAGCATGCACCAGAGGACACACTTTCTACTCCCAAGAACAACACAAATTGAACAATGTCTTCCTGCATCCATCCAGCCACAAGGCAGGAAAGGTAGCAAAAGAACCACAGTGGCCTTCCAAGTCATACACAGGTCAGATCATAAGATAAATGTGCAAAATCTACAGGGATTCTAGAGATTCCACATGAACCCACATAAAAATATAGGCCCAGCATACACTGGCCAGCCCCCTGACATATGATACAGTCAAGTGTTCAGGACACCTATGTTTGACAGGAAGACACATGTCCCTTAATATTCAAGTTTACTTCCACGCATGCCTGGAGGGGCCATTTACTGACAAACCACTTCAAAACAAAAGCAGCAACTTGCAACACAGGCAAGTAATTTAAGATGCTGACCTGATCGCAAGATTGTAATCCTCTAGGATCAATTTTGTCAAGTGATCTGAAGGCAACCTCAGCATTAATTGAGATATCTCAACCATCACCTTTACTTTTTCTCACGAAATTGTTCTCCACTTTCTTTTACCATCAACAACCACAGAATCAGCAGGGATCAAATCAACTTTAATACCAACACTAATCCTCTCTCTCTCTCTCTCTCAACTCAAAAAGGAAACAAATGAAAAAAAAAAGCATGGTATGCTACTTTGTTATTCACAACTCAGTATAACCATTTAAAAACATAAATGTCCAACAGGTCCCATCATACTTCAGACACTAAATATATATTTTTTTGGTGGAAAAAACAGCACCCAAGATTTGGGACACATGATAAATAGTGTATTGGGCCAGGGTAGGGGAATGCTCAGGAACTGTTGGTACTTAGCAGCCTAAAACACCTTATAAGTACCAAGGAAGCAAAAACGACATTACGAAGGCCATGATTTCAGGCTATGTCATATATGGATATCCTCTATCAGTCATATATTGTCATCGAGGAGATATAACATTACTAAATGCTTAAAGAGGAGTAAGAAATTGACTGAAAAGAAGATAAATGATGGCTAGTCTTGCAGTTCATATCTCAGAAACGAACCATAAAAATCAAATTACAACTTCACTAGGAGAAGCAGAAGCAAGTAAAATCAAGAAATCCGGTAGAATTAGATACTCTCATGACAAGAAAATTTCAGGACTATCTTCTGCTGATGAGACTAAAAATCTATTAAGAAAAAACCTATAAAATTGCAAAGACAAAGACATGGAAACCAAGTAAATACGTTTCCAAAGTTTCAATTGAGCTTAAAATATGTGGGAGACTCTGAAGTAATAATGGTCTATAAAACTTTAAGAAAATACTCTCTAAAGCTTAAATTAATATGAAATAAAAATTTGGAGGTAGCACCCACTGAGAAAGAAGAACAAAAGCAAAGAATGATACAGTTTTATGTTGCAAACCTGAAGACACAAGAAACTACACAAGGCACTCGAAAATTACGGTTCATGTTAACCTGTGTTTCGGCAAAAAGACTCTCTTTTCGTCGGTGCTAAAAGAGAAAAGCCCGATCTTTCAAGAAAAAAGAACACAAAGAAGGACGTTCTTGAGGAGAAGAAAAGAAACGACTTTGGCAAAGAACTGAAAACAGCTGTTTCATCATCTCCAAGTCATCGAGATTCAACAAGAAGCACAGTTTGGGGTAAAGATTCCAGCAAGAACCCACCTTTCTCTCGATTCGGCCTCGAGAACGTTCTCACAGAGCGACACCTCCCCGCCCTTCTCATAACACCTCCTCGTCCCCGAATTCGACGTCGGAGAACGGCTCACCTTCTGGGAGCTAAGCCTAGGGTTACGGCTGGAATCGGGGGTATCCTTGGGTGGGGCCTTCGTCTTGGATGCCGGAGCCGGCGGCAGAGGCTTCTCGAGGCGGCGGCTGCGGAGCTCGAGGTAGGCGAGGGAGGAGTCCTGCCCGGCTGCGAGGGCCCGGGCGCGGGTGCGGACGCCGAGCGAGGGCTGGTGGGCGGCGACCTCCATGACCGCCACCTCGCCGGAGAGTTTGGCTTTCCTCATATATTTCCCCATCATATCCTCCTCCTTTACTCTATGTCCCTTCACTCCACAAAACAGAGAGAGAAAGAGAGGGAAGGAATGGAAGCGGGAGAAAGAAAATGAACTGGAAGGTTTGGGCAAGGTACAGCAGCGGTGGGAGAAAGGGAGTGAGTAGGAAGAGGAAAGCTCGGTGTTTGGCTGTATATAGAAATGATGGGAGTGGTCTCTGCGTGTATTTTTGGTGAAATCATGACGTAGAAATGCCTAATTTATTGGGTTTCTTTTTCTTTTTTTTATTTTTTGGGTGGTGTGTAATTGTAGAGAGTATTTTAATCTGATAGGGTAATTTATTTAGAATAATTAAAAATTATCACATAGATCTTTTTCTATAAATTTCATATTTACTTACTTATTCTAATCTTTTTTTTTCTTTTTCAAAATTCTCTAAAATAATTATAACTTAATTCGATTTCAAAATTTTTGATAGCATTCATATTCAAATCCACTAAAATAATATAATATAACTAAAAGAATGTATACATATTTATCTATTCATTAAAATATATATATATATATATATATATATATTATGATTATCAATAGAAGCATGTAGTAAAAAAGATAAATTAATAACTAAAGTCGAATTAGAATATGTTAATTTGAGGTAAATTCGAATGCATGATTGACATTTTACTTAGATCATCTTCTCCATCGTTCGAAGGAAGAGCTTTGCATATTGATGTGGCGCCAACTCGACTGCACAGAGAGCCCAAAAAAGAAATGTTTTTATTGTGCAGAAGACCTGAAAACAATTCCCGATTCCAGTCAAAGAAGCGTTGACTTTTTAATTTCGAATTCAGTAAATTATGGAAAGTCCAATGTGATGAAGTCAGTCGAAAAGATAGATAATATTTGTATTCACAAGTAAATATGTGTAGGTTTAGATAGAAGATAAATCGAGTGGAAATTGTCTAAAATTATATGAGTATCAGTTTTAATTATATTATTTTTAAATAAATTTGATTATGATAATTCATAAAATTAGTACTAAATTAGTCTTGTCGTTGTTGAAGTTGTGATTAATACTAAATTACTACTAAATTAGTTCAAAATTCAAATATTACACACTATAAAAGAAAAAAAAAGATATTTTATCGTTCTCTTTTTGAATAAATCGAATTCAAAAAGTAAGTTTCAATGCCTTCATTCTTTTTTTATTTATTTTTATAAGTTAAAAAAATTAATTATAACTTAATTTTTATAATTAACTATCTTTAGTATCCAGATATCTATATTTACGAAAGTGAAATAATTCACTTTGTTCTTCTAATAAAATTTATTTTTAATCTTATAAAATTATCTTTTTAATCCTTATATAGAGATCTTAATGTTTTACTTTTATAAATATAAGAATCTTAATATAATTTTTTAAAATATAAAAATTAATATACTAAAGATAATTAATTATATGAGATAATATATTATTAGTCTCAATTAAAATAAAAAACTTAGACTTAATGAATATGATCTCTCTCTTACTCACCACCACCAATAGAATTTAAACTCAAAATAAAAATCTTGATTCTCTATGGATCAAACACAAGCTTCTTTGCTTCATCAAACAAAGGAAACAGAGGAACTATCCTAAAATTTATTCTGCCAACAAAGAACATGGCTCCAAGATATCTAAAGACTTTATCTAAAAACAAAATCTTAATAGATAGAAGAGAATAATTTTTTTTATTGTGTAAGCAGCACATCCCTCCTTTTATTATAAGAAATGATCCATAGCCATTTGGAAATCAAACGACAATAATGTATTGTAACTTTGATTAAGATTAAACAAAAAAATGAATTAAAGTAAAAGTCATAATGATAACACCGCAGATAAACAAATAAGGAAAATAAAAAATAAATTGAACATAAATTTTGAGATTTCTTTCTTTAAAATAAATAAACAAATCAACCAGTTTAATTCATAAAGATGGTGACTATCTTCATGAGATTAAATTATATTTTCGTCATTTAATTTTACACAAATAGATAAATAAATGAGCCAAATAAGAGCTATATATATATATATATATATAAAGCGGGATGCTTCCCGCCAAATCCGGAAGGCGCGTCTTCGGAGCTTCCCGCCAAAAAAAAAAAGATTCCCTCGCCGAGACGTCCCACGTGGCAAAACCTCGCCCGACAAACCCGCCCGCAATTGGAGTCGTCCCCACGCGTGACGACGGAATCCGCCCACTCGGTGACTGTTCGCCTTCGACGGGAAGTGGGATTAGCAACGACTCGCGGCACGAAACCCGTTCGCGGAAGCTCCTCCAAAATTCCATTTCCTCGGCCGCTGCGCCACCGTCCGTACCGCGCTTCCGGCGCCTCTCCCCCCTCGCCGAGGATTTCCCAACAGATCGGCGGTCTTACATACGTATGCCTCTGGAGTCTCTCTTCGTATCGCGTCCTGCACGATTTTATGCACTTGTTTCTCGCTGGCAAAATCGTCGTATCACCGCCCTACATTGACATCTAAATTGTCCTCACTCCCCCTACTTATATCATGTCGTCTGTGTCAGTGAGTGGTCATTACAGTCTTCTTCCGCTTCAGAGTTATTTTTCTTATTTGTTTCTTGACCAAAGTCGTCGCTCTAAATATAGTCAAAAGGTTTCATGATTGATAGAGGCCATGGTAACTGAAGAAATCTCGATTTGCGTTACGAGGTGTTCTTGAAAAGTTACCATGTATGTTTCTTTTGTTCTTTACATTTTCTTGGCCAGTCAATGAAGATATCTAACATAAATCTGTCACCTACAATCTTAACTCATAGATCTGTGGGCATCGACGCCGAGAAAGCCAAAAAGGTTTCCTTCACTTTCGGACGAGCTGCTCAAGTCAAAAGGCATGATATATGAGAATCCAAATCTTACAGCATCCCTTGGCATTAGGGTTCTCTCTGGAGGAAAAAGAAGACTTTCTTTAGCTCCACACGTTGTCCCTTCTATTCATGCTTCACTTCTGACAAAAAATATGCTGGCCAGCCCTACTTGTGATCATTGCAGCATAGCTTCATGTGAACATTGAGATCTAAGGCATCCATCATTAGGAAAGCTCTGCGAAAAAGCACTCCTTTTTTCTGCAGTGCATGCAAGCTCATCTTTTCCTTCCCACCATTGCTACGGACAAGAATTTTGCAGGAAGGAATCGTCTTTATCCAGTCGAGAGAAGGACATCATTGGATTAAGATCGAGCCTCCCTTTACTTGATGTGGCCACTGTGACCTTTGGTTCTCAAGTTTTGCTCTCTCTGTTTCGAATCGATGGTCTCATGCATTCGGTACGAGACTGCCATTATTTCAACCAAAAGCATTAGGGTTTGGGTTCCCATGCCAACTCTCTTTTCCTTTATATCCAATCCGATGCGGTACCTGCAGATCTTCTTCTCCAGATTCAAACGTTTCATCACTTCATGCAAGCCCAACTGTTTCTCCAGCTATCACAAATTCCATGTCCAACAAAGGAATCTCCAAGAGAACACCGTCTAATCTGGTCCCGGAGACGAACAACGTTCACGCGAGCTGTGCTGTGGGAGACATAGAAGACATGTTTGTGTGGGGGTTCTTCGTTAGCATGCATCTTCTGTGTGAGAGCAAAAGCGTAGCCCACTGTTTACGGGTTACGCTGATTCCCACCGTCATCTTCTAAGAGAGAAAGGCAGTGATTTTGATGGTTCGATGCCATGTTCGTCGAACAGATTTGGATCTGCATGCATGGAAAGAATCTTTCATGGAACTCAAATCTAGAAGGACGTCCCAAACCAACTCTCTTCTTTCGGACAATAATACACACACACACACGCATACATGTGCATATATCCACATTCATCAATGTGCTCTTAAGTTTATCCATATGTTTCTTCACCTAAAGAATCACTTCATCAACCATCTTCGATCTTAAGAACTCTTCATTCTAAACGCTTACTAACAATGAAGATGGAACCCTGTATCAGAAGGAAACATCTTCTTTTAGAAGGATTACCATGCTGAAACACGTTATAAGAATTAGAAATCGACCTGAGTCCTGTGTATGGTACAGGATTTAGTAAGGGGTGGTGAGAAAAGATTAATGTCATCGATCCCAAATAAGCAGTTTCTTTTTGCATGAGAATCCTTTTCTGATTTGGTTTTTGGGGTGAAGTTTCCCATTGAATTCAATTCCACGAAACTACTTTTATGGGTTTCACTTTAAATTTTCATGTTTTATATTATCCTAAATTTATTATATATTTTTTTCTTTGATAATTTTTCTGATTCATTTTTTATATACAAAGTGTTGTCTTAAAACTTCTTCGTATTGTTAATTGAATAATATGATGTTAGAAATGCTATAACTTTTGGCTTCTCATTTTTAATTAATTAAATAGATATATGCATTATATTTAATTTTCGTGTAGAAAAGCCTTTTCGTGCTACATTTCTTGCCAACAATTGTGAAGCGATCTATTATAATAATTTGCTCTGATCTGCTTTTACTTGTTTTTATCAAATGCATAATCTTTGTATGGAATGAAAGAAAGAAAACTTTATTGTTCTCTGAAATGAATGGCAGCGTTCTAATGGGCTCAGCGTGATGTTTATCAAAACTAAGATGACTGACTGCTGACATACGTGGTTCTGTTGACCAGCATGAAAATGTCCTAAGACTTGCTAAAAGCTATCGACGAACAATTCGTCACTTCGGATAAGGCACTAGCAAGTACCCTAATAATGAAATGCTCATTCCTTAGACTCACCAACATAAAGGGTGTGCGTGAGCACATAATGCAAATGCGAGATATTGCAGTTCAACTTAAGAAATTATAGGTTAATATGTCAGAATCCTTTCTAGTGCATTATATTCTGAACACCCTTCCACCTCAATATGACCCTTTTAAAATTTTATACAATACACATAAGGACAAATGGTCAATCAATGAATTAATGACCATATGTGTTCAAGAAGAAGACCATATGTGGTCAATCAATGAATTAATGACCATATGTGTTCAAGAAGAAGAGAGGCTAGTGATGGAATTGGGTGAGAGTGTATTGGTAGTAACCACTCGCGAGAAGAACAAAACTGACAAACATCAAGCCAATCAGAAAGCTCATCAGTAGGGAAAAGGTAAAATACCACCCCAAGCTGATATCAGGAAAGAAGCAATGTGTTTTTTTTGTAAAAGAAAGGGACATATGAAGAAGGAATGA